AAACTTGCAAGGCAATCAGCTCGAGCACAAACGCAAAACAACTGTCTACGTAATCTGACCCCACTTTTCGTCAGAACACAACTTGCCTGGCTGTCTTTGTCGGATTATATAGGAACAAAGGGCATCGCTACTGGTAGCAAAGGGCATCGCTACTGGGAGCAAGGACGTTACTAGGGGCGCTCCTGGCATTACTACTAGGAACAAGAAGCTACCAGTAGCTAGTTTCTGTATGTGTCTTTATTGTCAGGCAGGAGTGTCAGGAGCCAGGACAACAGGAGTACAGTAAAAGACGAAACAATAAAGCAATAGCGAAGCGAAGATGTGATAGTTCCCTCGGTTCCCTCCTTGTCGCCATAGTTCCGGCCAATACATAGAGCAGGTGCCAGCTTGGACATAGTGGTAAACAAGTGATCAACCTCAGTTGGCTAACGAACGCAACACACGTCACGAAACCTACAGGATCTCAGCAATTTGCGCACATTGACTCTCAGCTGTCTCAGCTAGTGTGGATGAACCAAATGGGTCACAAATCCGGCCAAGCAAAGTTGTCAGGGCAAACCACTGAAGTGTCCGCGGTGCCACCGAGCAACTACTGGCATCCCATCCGGAGAGTGATCTACATTGGCTGCAGTTATGCACAGGTCATATTTTCTCTTCACGCCAGCTTGCGTGAAAGCCTGGCCCGACACTCACAAGTTCAGCTGGCAAGCAATCAAAAAGCATTTCATCTTCAGATCCAGTGCCTTGGCCACCTTGGCACTATACTTCATGATGTCCTCGGCCGGGTGTAAGAGACCATATTCCCAGCAATTGACCATCGTCACTAATAACGAACAAATCTTGCCTCCGTTCAACAACTTTGATCCCATGGCAAGTCACGATGTTTCGACCCTGGCTCCGCTTCTCTTGTGCAGCCTAGACCAGCGGGACACAATAGATACCAAAAACAGCTTGAGGCAATCCTTCGACAAAGTAGCCTTCATCTCGTCTCCATTTCTAAGATTCATTTTTTCGATCAGCATGTCATTGCACTCCTCACTCAGGTCCTGCAAAACTTTGGAAGGTCTGACGATCTGAATAGATCCCAACAGAGTTGATACCAGAAGCCTACAAGCCTGCCAGCATTTCATCCCTCAAAAGCCTCTTTGTTCCACACTACTAATTACCTACACGCGTTGCAAGCTGGGAATGCTGCAGCAAAAAGCTTGCAGGTTTGGTTTGGTTGCTGCCCCAGATTATGTCAAATGCTTCGACACAGCAAATGCTTTGTAAACACAGAGACTACCGGCATAATACGAGCTTCAATGTCATCAGGATGCACAGTCCTCGGCGTAGATGACATACTTCTTATCCTTTCAAGGCACTTGATTTGAATTGAAACCTCACTATCCCCAGAGGGTTTGCTAAAGTCGACTCTATGTCGGATTTCGACAGCGATTGCTGGTAGTCTGCAAGGTTTCTTGTTTTACCAGTTCTGTAAGACTGCTAAAATACCTCATCTTACTTCCCAGTGCAGTCTTTGAAGATCTTGTCGACCGACTTCTTGAGTTCTTCGGGTGCTTGTGCGGCCTGAGAAAGCGCAAAGATCGAAAGTCTTGGAGCACTCAATGTTGCCTCACATCAACACTTGGTCGCAAGATTGTGTTCTCTTCTAGCTTTCAGCAAGCCGTGTCAGCAGCCTCCTCTTCCAGGTTGCATCCAGAAACTATGTGATGGAGGAAAACCACCTCGCGTGGGCGTCGAAGGTTGCTAGGGTTGCATTTTGGCAAAGGCATTTTGGCAGAAAAGTAATACAAAGATACGATCTCTTGATCCAAGCCAGGCTGCATTCTTCTTGGTCGTCACGGACGTCTCATACCTTGTTCAGCAATTGTGGATGCATCAAGAGTAAGTCGGTGCAAAAGCTCTGAGCTTCTGACGCTTCCCTGACGATGTCATTCTTGAAAACATTGGGTGTGATGATGAGCACTGTATTGGCAGTCTGGACCAAATGAATGGATTTAGCAGTGCGTGAATCGGGTGAATATCTGAATAACCCAGTTTTGTCACTTTAAATGCTGGTTCACAATATGGTTCGCCTTGACTTCGAACTGCTTTGTGCCAGGCACAGGCTCTCGGAAACTGACACCCAACAATGTCTTCCTGGGTGACATGGAAATCGATGTGTGGTCAACTCATAGCAATGTGTTTTCGCCAGCATGTTGGTTGCTGATTGCTTCCCAGCCACAGTGATCTCCAGACCTGAGTCACTGATCATTCCCACTGCCAGTACTGTTCCCAACCAACAGCACAACACGCATTGGCTGCAGAGTCTGCTGTCCAAATCACAACACGAACACATGGAGGGCATGTGGCGTAATCTTCATGCCACCCACTCAAGCAACATGCTCAGCTCGCTGCAGCTAGTGCGAAGTTGGTTGCAACCTCGCTTTCCGTGTCAAACCTGAAGCAATGCCACCATGGATTTGCTCACATCGATACAGTGGGGATGTTGGGAAAACATGGTGGAGCCGCGGCTTCTCAAAGTTCTGGAACAGAAGGATGCCAGCCATAGTCATGCTATGGTTATGGTTTGGTCAGATTCAACCGGCACAAAATTCCCAACCCCAAAATCCCATTGAGAGCTGTCAGGGCACACGAATACTGCATCATCCATGGTGGCTCAGCGTGCTCTCCTTTGAGTACAAGCAGTATCAGCATGTATCAGCCATGTGTTCTTGTCGCTTGTGCTTTCACATTTGCTCAAAAGTCACAAAAAGAAACGGCCTATGTGACTTCGATGAGCCTTCCATGTCCCAAATGCACAAAAACTGACGCCAAACAATCCTCGTGTGTCACGAATTGGAGCGAGGCCAGTTTCCTCAGTTGAGCCGATCAGCAGCATCGATGACAAAAAATAATGAAAGCCGTATACAGTATACATGTCGTATACATGTTGCATGTACTCGTTATATAAATATAGTTCAATAATGTTCAATATATGTTCTTTATTCCATCTCCTTCGTTTCCGTATTCCTCACTAAGAGCTTGGTTCTTGACTCAGCTTCTAAACACATGCCAAGATTCACCTCTGCCGCTTGAACCCAGCTTCACAACACGAATCCTATGTTTGAACCAAATATATACTGCAAAACGCAGCCAGTCGCCCAGCTCATCTTTCCTGATTCCTCCACGGTGGCGCGTGTACGCACGATCGTTTGGTCAATCTATGATCGTGTCTGACGTGTATGGCATCTTTTAAAGACCCTCCCTCGGGCCTAGGGTGGCTCTCGCATGATGTAACAAATGGGCTACACACAGAAAGTCTACAATCCTGTCTGAAATCCACTGGTTCAACCAGTAACGCTGGACAAGTGGCTTAGATTCGCTTAGATGCTTCAGTTTCTTGCTAAGCTTCTGCAAGTTGCAAGAATCTTTTGGCAGCAAATCGATGCAAGTCCTAAACCTTAGCATGCGCCAAGAACCCTGCTGAAACGGCAGCTAGAGCACGTTAAAGCACGCTACAGCTGATAAGAATTTGATTAGGCCTGCAGCAGATTGAGCAAGCCAGTGGAGAGCAGCCATTGCCACATCTCATTTACCGGAACACATGGGCATGAGCTCGATTGCTTTGCCAGCACATGAGGCGGATCGCTTTCATCATGCGTCTCTGGGCCAAGGATATCTCGAAATGAAAGTGGAATGTTGTTGTGGTGCGCACGCAGCGACCAAACATTACCTTGCAAATCACGTACAAAGACGTTGGACGGCTGTTCCAGGCAAATCTCACTCGGTGGGTCTGGCAAAATGATGATGTGCAAGAGCTCATCACAACATGAGTGAAACGATAAGCCTTGAGCACATGTTCGAAGTTCCAGTCCGAATGCAGCTTGTGGTAAAGGCTGCCACGGATGATGTTGATGGCGGTCCTGCAAAGTATTTATCGAGTGTGCGCCTGTGTTGTCCAATTGCTCCGTCCTGTGTCTGGATGCATACCATGATTCAAAACGCCGGCTTCGTTTCAGAGATACTGCGGCGTGAAAAAGATTCAAAGGCGCAGAAGCCAGAAATGTCTCACAGGGGGTCACAACCATAGATGTACCCATGCCCATAGGAGGCCTTAAATCACACCGAACAATGCTCACCCCACATGCCAAAGCCCACCACTGCAAACGCCTTTGCACTGGATGGACTGCATGTGAGCGCTGCCCATGTCCGACATGTGGGATGTGAGCTGGGTTTACAACGATGTCACAGCGTTGAGCAGTTTGATACAACAGGGAGTCCTCCTCAATGTCGAGACAAATCAATATCCCAATCCGGCCAATGGAAGTGGCAAAAATCCCAAGCCTTTGCTCAAGTGCTCCCTTAGCATCAATTGCTCCGCGCATCTGTTTCCTGTAAGAACCGATCAAACCGTCTTTCCCAATCAAAGGGCAAGTCTGCCAAGACTCAGTTGGAAACGCTGGGTCAAGTTCAACCATTGATCCTGCAGCTATGATCACATTGTTGATTTCCGCAACTTTTTGCAGCTCTGCTACTGCAGGGTGACTCTCATCACAAATTCCCGCCTCAACAATTGCACCCTCTGCGAGCACAACTAACCGGCAAGCCAACGGGTGGTCTGATCTGTCAGCCAAGGCCTGGTTAAGATATTTGGCCCAGGCTTTTGCTGGTCTCGGTGTGTCTGCAACAATGACGACCTGTCTCAAATCTGCTACTTCCACCCTGACAGCATCTGCTGTTTCTAAAGGCTTTGCAGAGAGTTTCGGCGATGTTGGTCGAAGCTCTGATTTACATTCTGAGACGACCTTTGGCCTCAAATGGTAAGGAATGGACTGCGCCTTTATGGCAGCCTTAGGTTTCGGAGGAGGTGGGCGACCCCTGGCTACGGCCATTGCGATATCTGGTAGTTTTACTCGAACTTTGGGCCATGTCTGCGGGGCAAAATTATCCATTCAATTCAATTCTACATCAGTAATGCTGGAAAAGCAAGCTGCATAAACACCTGCGCTCCAAGCGGGGGCCCGCAGAATCTTCTTACTGTACACCTGAAAATCAGAACATGCAGTAAAATTAAAGCAAAACAAGACTTCTGCGGCTGCCACACCTCGAGCCAGCGCAGCCTCAGAGTGGAAGGAACTTTGGAGGTCACTTTGAAAAGCGGCCCTGCCTGCGATGTACATCCGAGCATGAACACCTCGGAACATCCCGCCTCAATATGGTGGAGCATGGTGGAGCAATTTTGGTCCGCTTCAAAGCAGAAATGAAATAACCAACTTCAAAGCAGTACAGTAATAGTTTCTTGCTACTAGTAGAAATGGCCTCCAACCTAATAGCGATGGCCTCCACCTAATAGCGTCCTTGCTACTAGTAGATTCTTGAGCCATGCCTATCACACGTGTCTAATTGAAAATGTCCAGCTCAAGAGAAGCCGCAACCGCGCCTGCATGGAATGCCATGCGCGGAACCATCAAGTCAGCAAGGATCTTCACCACAGGTCAGTGGACCCTTTCGATTGTGTGGTGTCTGGATGATGGATGTACCACATGACGTGTGTGATTATATAAGCATAATATATATTAATATATACAGTACTGTTCTGTATATGGTTACCTTTGTAGAGATGTTGATGTCAGTGATTATATGAACTGCAAATCAAGTGAGCAACTATGCCGAAAATTGCATCAAGTCAGGGCAATCTAGCACAGTCAAGGACCCTCAAAAAAGACGTCAGGCTGCGCCGAAAAGAGCGGGCAAGGAGGAACCAAGCTCCAGAGCCTCTCCTGTATCTGCTCAGCCAACATTTGGGCTTGAAGCCTCTGCAAACACAATCGGAGGGCATCAAGATGGCCGAAGAGCAAAAGGCCCTACCTTTTCCGGTCCCGGTCTTTTTCTGCTGTGAACCTGGATGACATGGCAACACGTCTGATTCCAGGTGACATGAAAGTGAATTGAGACAATGATGGTCAGGCCGCCTGTCCATTCCAAAAAGATCGCATCGCCCGTGGTCAGTGGAGTTCCTGGTAAAGTTCAACAACTTGCAAAAGCCCTTGCACATCTTCGCTTTAAGGCAAAACTACTTGCCCATGGTGTTGCGTCGTCTCAGTGCATAAAAGCATTACAGCATGGCCATGCATGGACCCCAGATAGCACAACACCTACAGCTTGCAGAAGAACCGCCTTGGCGGTGCATGAGACAGCCTGGAAAACAGCAGCGGTCATGAGTGCGGGCCCACTGCAACAAGTGTATACTGTATACAAGTGTGGGAGTCAGCACCGATGAGTCCACAAGAGTACCAACCAGCCCAAGAGACAAACAAAGTGGCGATTGCCTGGGGAAAGATATGCTTTCAGACTCGTTCATCCAAAGGCTTCATGTCAGGAATTGCGTTTTACGTGCTGGCTTGGTTTTGAAGGCCGGCCATCGCTATAGCCTTGATCTTGTTTCGATGCCGAATGCAAACTGAAAAAAGCTACCTTACAGCCGTGTAATGTGTGCTTCTTGATCGCAAAGTTTGAGACGAAGGTTGCTGGGTGCTATGCTTCCAGCTTCCAGGCGTCCAGCATCCAGCGGCATGCAGATTCCAACAAACGTTCTTCTCCGACGCTCTGGAACGCGCTCGTGTTCCAGTGTTCGGTATGTCCGAGTGAGACAGTGGGAGACAGCAGCGATCTATAAGATCGTCATGAGATTATCAAATCAAGAGCCAGTAAGAACCCCTGTAGCTTACAGCCATTTGTGCTATCTGGGGAACTATGAATGAAAGTCCACAACGTTTTGCAGCTTGAGGCGAAGACAGCTTGTCAGGCGACAAAGGCTGCTGTGCTACTGCTCCCACTGCAGTTTGTGGTGGAACCTCAGTGAAGCACAGCTGTGGCGGGAGGATTGTCCAACCTCTATGCGTAGAAACACTCTCGATTAAATTGGAACCTTGTGAACTTGTGATATCAAAAAGGGCTTACAAAGCGCTTCTACCTACTAAGCAGCTTGGTCATTAGCAATTCAGCATGGCCCGGCAGGTCATCTAGAAAGTCCTCAGAATTCGACAGCAGGTTGTGAGGGTGAAGCTTTGCCGTCTGGGCCTCAAAAAATGAGGTCTGCTCTCAAAAGTCAGTGCTCTCTATGATTTTGTTTGTTGCCATATGTGCCTGGATCTGCAGGTAAGGCCTCCGCAATGAGAACACCATAACAAACAAACGAGCCAAAGATGGTAGTCCGACTTGCCTAAGACCATCTATATATGACCTGAAACCTCTCCTGCTCTTGCCCAAAGAACTGCGAAAGTAGCTTCTACATTGAAGACATGAAAATGAAAGGAAGAAAACGTACGGTCTAAGGTCCCCTTCAATAGGGGCAATTTAAGGGGGCCTTTATTCGAAAACTCTTCTAGTGCCGCGGCGGGATGGACCTGCTCCTCCTCTGGAGTTGTCTGCGTTCCCTGAGCATCACGCGGATACAGTCTCAACACATCTTGAATGTACTATGTACTGGACATGTATGGTTGCGACACCAATGCACCACAAGAGCCCAGTCAGTACCAGGAGGAGATTGATGGAGAAAGTAAGCACTGGATGCCCAGTGGATGCCAAAGCATGGGTGGCTCAGAAATTGCAAATACAGCTTCCGAGGGCAAGCGGCAAGATTAGCCTTTGAGAATCCATTGACCAGCAAGCAGTGAATCTCTCATCTTGCCTGCTCTTATCCACATGTCCTAATCTATCCACTCCCTCTCAGCCTTCAAGCTGCCCCAACAGGCCTCTTCAACACCATTCACTGTTCCTGCAGGAAATATCCAACAATGATCCTGATCATGCCTGATCGACTCCATGTACAACCCTGTGATGAATGTGGGTGACTGCAAGTGAGTGGTGGCTTCAAGACAACTACAAAACAAACCACTGGGAATGTGTCCTACACTGGCATGTCTAGCCCCTGGCGGAGGCGGCAAGCCGTTATCCACCTGTCAGAATGGAGGTCTCGGCATCACATCCCACACAGCACATCCCACAGTACAATTCTCAATCACAAACAAATGCTACGGAAAGATTTGTTGGATGATACATACCGTGTGTCAACCTTCGCCTCTCCACTAAGCCGCCAGAACAAAGAAGAGTATCTTCTGGCTATCAATGTGTCAAATTTCAACTGAATAGCCCTGTAGATCCCATGGATTTGGATCTTGATTTGTCGGAACAAGAGTAGGCTGCCACAACTCCCACCTATGTCCCCACACGATTCTACAATATTACGTTCTCACAGGAGCAGGTGAGCAATCAAAGCATCATAACACTCCAAGTAAACACGCATATTGCGATTTGCAAAAGTAGTGACCACAGCCCTGGTCGTGGCCTCATCTGTACTGACGCCAGCGTGCTTCACCAATACAATCGGCCGGACACCTACCAGTCTTTGTCAAGGCTCCAGAGGACAGATAGGAGCAAACGACTGTTGCAAAAGCAGCTACAGTACTAGGAGCAAAGGACGCTACTAGGGGCTCCTGGCCTCACTACTAGGAACAAGAACGCTACTAGTTACTAGGAGCAAAGAGCATCGCTACTAGGAGCAACGGAGATGGCACTGGACAGGTAATAGCTGAGCAAAACTGAAGAGACCTGACCGACCTCACCTGCATCTTTGTGGGCACGCAATGGCTTTGGCACTGCTTTGGCCGTTGCCACCTAAAGCGTGCGACTGACTTTGCGCGCATTGATGCTGCTTCATCCCATTCTATTGTTCCTTGAAGAGTTTCTCTACATACTTTTGCTACAGTCAATTCAATGCTCTGATACTTCCATCCAGGCTATTTGCATATGTCTTCAGGACCATCACTGACTATGACACTATCGTGTGAAGTTGAGTCCAACGCTACCTTGACAGGAACTGCAGAATGGCTATCTCCTTCATGCGGCAACTGTGCAGGTTCCTGTTGAACCCGTGGCGGATGTGGTGCTTGTGCTGCAACCTGCTCAGATAGAACCTGAAAGGCTGAAGCACAGTGCCCGCACTGCTTCATCAGTTAAGTTTCCCAAAAATCCAGGAACCAAATGAATAGTGCGAGCGTTTCTTCAAGGAAGCCTTCCTTGAAGAAGCATGAGCTATCCTGCGTCCTAAGTAGTAGCTACTTAAGCTACTACAGTAGCGACTCCCTAGCTTCTACTAGCTACCTAGCTACCAACCTCCTAGCAGCCTACCCCTCTTGAAACAAAAAATTGACATGAAAATTAAAAAGACATACAGTACTGTAAAATATATACTGTAGATAGTAATAAAAATAGATAAAATTATGCTGCAACAAAAAAGCCGAGTTATGCACCGGCTTCGCAGTTTTGCTGACCTGTTTGGTCGGCAGACAAGCACGTTGCACCGTTTGACAATCCAACGATCCGATCCGCTCAGACCGGCCTCAGATTGAAGTTGCTGCAATAGGTCTGCAGGAACTAAGGCACATCCTTGTACCACAAGCGCATAAGTTTCTCCAACTTGTGCTCACAAATCAAACTTCCCTTCTCCTCCTTATCCGTTTCTTCTTTGAAGGAGAGCGCAAAAAATTGGAGCAGGAATAAAGGTTCGGTCGCATGGAATCAAGACCTACCGTTACGACTCGCGACTATGTTGCATCAAATGCTACGGGGCAAAGAGACAACACAACACACACCTAACACACATCTTCAACTCTCGACGGAGCAGAAATAGCCAAGGCATGCAGCGTATTGGAGTGCTGTGCAAGGTCTGCATGGAGGATTTGGTGTGGTTTTTGTGTTTACTAACTTTATATTAACCTACTAGCGATGGCCTCCAACTTGCTAGGGCACTTTTTGTCACCTATGTGTCCACCAAGCTCTCCTGCAGGGCAGGCCAAAGGAACAACTTGGGGGACTGAGAGCTTCTGCAACTTTCGAACCTGGGCCACAACACTCCCAAATCCGTCGGATGCCAAGAAATGAGATCAGTGAGATGACTCATAGCAAGCATTCGATGACAGACGATATATGCATTTGCATGCATTTGCAAGCTTTCCATCAAATCACACAGACACCAGTGCAAGGTCTGTGGTTGAGGGTCACTGGCGCCGCATGATACTATATCTTGCCAACGTGCTCGTGGACCAAGTGACTTTCAATTCTTCAACCCGTCTCTCTGAAAGCTTGATTCTACGCAATGAACAACATGTGATGACAAGTTTGTAGGGTAATCAGTTTTGATCTTCAAAGGCTGAAAATTTAAAAGCAGCGCTCAAAGACCTTGGGAAACTCCTTCCCGTTGATCTTTGGGCCGCGAACTGCCTGAAGCAAAAATGCTGTCGAACAGCATCGCAATGGTGACACGAGACGTGGCCTCTTAATGCCTTTACGACTCTTTCCCGGGAGCGTTGTGCAGGGTTCTTCCGTAGAATTTTTTTGCGTTAATACACTTGGGGCTATATAGCTGCATTTGTATGTATGCTATAAGTACATCTGCAACTTGCAGGTGTGGCTCTCAAGAACTGCTTCTACGGAGGTGGTAATACGGGAC